ACTATGCATTTAAAACTTTATTGAAATTATACTGTATATATATTGATTAGGCTGTCCAGAATTATGCAATTATAAATGTATATTAGCACTTTTTAAAGACTTAAGGGCCCTAGGTCCTTAAAATTTGGACTTGGTCTTTAAAGACCAGGTTTAAAGACCAGGTCTTAAAGTCCCCGACCTAAGGACTTTAACAACCCTAATCTTGGGTCGGATTAGCTAATTTCATATATTGGTCCAAATAATGTATGCATTCTGTCGGAAGCCTTGTTTGTATCATTTCAGCTATCTAATTTTAGTGAATGTATAGAAAAAATTGGTTGTTAAAGCATTCACTATACGAAATATTTGTGCCAAATCAAATACACTTACATTAGGATATGTTTGACTAAGTCGATGAAGTTCTTGGGCAAGATATATTTTAGGCTCTGGAATTGATGCAGTAGGATCAATCCTTGGTTTACTAGCAGTTGTTAATTTAGCGAAAGTAGTTTGAAACTGTCTATCCTCTTCGAAATCATAATTGAGTAATTCCTCTTCAGCGTCGTAATTCTCAATCTCTGTCGGCGCTTCGAATAATTTGATTAGTGCTGCAAGGATAACCGGCCTAAATTTGATAGAAATGATGAATAATTAATGAAGATTTGCATAAGTTTTAGAATTATATAAATTACCATGTGTTAATATATGTCTCCGATAAGATCAGATCACTTTGAGTCAAAAGACGTATCATAGCTATCGCGCAAATTTTACGGTCCGTATACCCTTGAATTTTTTGTAAATCCGGAATGATAAAAGCATTTAAAACCTCCAAAAATAATCTGCAAATTTATAAAGCTAATTAATTGACAATAACCATATATATATGCTTAATCATTCTAAAATTACAATATCTCTTACGTACTTTTCTTGAATGGAATCAAAGGCGTGAATAACATAATCAGGGCCACCATGAAGGTTTATTGCAATGAAGAAACACACAAAGTTTACAAAACCTAGAGCGAACTTTTCGGTCCTGCTACTTTGTAACCGTCTCAATAATAGAGATAAGATAGCACCAATATATTGATTAAGCGTTCCTCTGGGAGTATAATAAACGAATTTAGACAATGGAATGTTGAGCACCATTGCATAACAAACTGTTTATCGAATACAAAACTTACGTATGAACATATTGAACAATTGAGCATAACAGTTCAAGGCCATATTTATCATTAGCTTTTGAAGCGATCAATTTTTGGAAGATACCAAGAATAGGTTCGAGCTGTTTATTGGTAATAATGGCTAAAGAGTCGCGATAAAGATAAGCATGGAGAAAGCGAACCAAAGCTGGAATGTTACCTATATCAAATGAATGTATGATTAGAATGAATTCATCCTTCGGTGCATAATGTACAAAAGTTTATGGCAAGTTAAAGGATTTCCATACCGGATGATTCCCATAGATTAGGAGTTAACAATGCCGGTAGCATGCCTTTATATATATCAGGCAACTGAGTTTCAGTATGTAGTTCAAGAAGCTGTGAAAATATTTGAAAAACGTATGGAACGAATTCTAAAGAAATAAGGTCGATTAATTTATCATTAAATAAGCATTTAAAATATATAATAATGATTAAGTCACACACCAACAACATCTTGCTGCAATATAATCTGGAATGGGCCAAATAACATGTTTTCAAAGCTTTGTAATGCCATTGGATTGTCTGAACAATTAAACCTGTACGATCAATCAATAAACCAATTTTATTATTACGATTACATAGCACAATATTCCAGTTTCCTAAAAATAAGTATAATATAATGTAATACACACCTCACCAAGGCTCCAATAGATTCGAAAACATAATGATTAAAGCGAGGATTACTTGGATTTTTACTAATTTCGCCCAAAATTTTATTCAAATGACTTAAGATTTCTCCAACATACGGAGACATATCATCACGGCTCGTAAAAATAACTCGCATGACAGCTACATTGAAAGAAATTTTTAGATTGTAAATGCATTATATTAATTAAACATATTAATATACCTTTCATAAGGTAATCATTCTCGGCTAATGTTTCCGGTGTTGTTCCAGCTTCAATCAACCTGAACAAGTTGATAAGCAGTTCTTGGGTGTAAGGTTTTATATCGTGCTTACTGAACCTGAAAGATAATTACATATCGACAAAATAATTATTAAGGGTCTATTACAAAAAATAACCTTTAAACCTACATCATAATATTGTCCTTGCGCATAAATAAAATTCGTTCAATTGCAATTGCAGCGTACGTATGAACTACATAGTTTGTAGACGAAAGATGATTAACCAACAACGAGAACACTGCTGCTAGTCCCGGTTTACTCATCTATTTTGCAAATAAATACTGAGTAATGGCACTGTGATTATTTAGATTCAATGGTATGTCTCTTACTTGATTTCTGAAAGTGTACAGGTACTTTATAGCATCAACTTTTAACACGGGTTGCCCGCTATCAACGGGTGTTTGTAAATCCGGCAAGATATTTTCAGTGAACCAATCTACAACGTTTACTAGATCGTTAATCACTGTGAGGCCGTGCTAATAATTAATTCACATTAATAATCAAATTCTTTTACAAAATATTGAAATAATTGACTTTTTTTATTTTATTTTATTAAGTACTAACCTTTGTTGCCGTGCCAGGAGTAGCAATCGAAGTCAAAAGATAGATTGCTGCGTCTTTATCTTTCCAATTACTTGGATTTTCATTGTATTGCTACAAATAAATAAAGTCAGACGATTCTTCACATAGCATTATTATACTAATGCATCTGTACCTTGAGAAATTGGGTTATATATGTTCCAATAATTCGTGTTATATCTTTCATAAAATGTGTCATCATACTACGCACAAAATCAGATGCAGCTCGCCTACGAGTGTCACTATCTAAAAATAAAATAAATACAGATAATTATTATTCAACATTATATGAAAATATGATATAAAATTAATAGGTACCAGATCCTTCTATATCTCTTCTAATGAACTCAATAGGGTCATATTCAAATAACTCTTCATCAATGTCTAATAAAATAAATGGTATATTTAATAAACTATTAAAGCAATTAATGTCAAACAAATTCGCGTTACATAAACAAAGTCACTTACTTCTTAAATACATATTAGGAAGTACAATCTTTTGACAGAATTGAGTAAGTGCTGTCTCATTGTTGAACAGACTATGATATTGTTCCAACTTCACAACTGTAGATAAGAAAGCCATGGACTTGCTCACAAGCTACATGAAAAGAATTAAAATACATTTACGAAAGTAATTGTAGGGAACATAAATAAATTCAATACTCACAAGGTCGTATTTTGCTTCTATACCTATCGTAGTCAACAAAAGCCACACTGTCTCAACAAACTGAGGTAGCATAGTGAATAACTCTTCATATTTCATAGTATATAGCGTCACTATTTCACAGATTGAGGATTTGACTTTCTCTAAAGGGCCTGCTTCATCTTCACTCTTATTCAATATAAAATAATTACTGATACTTAGATTAAATTAATATGAAAATAATGATGTAGCAAATGTGACAAAGCTTACCTCAGATTCTAACAAAGGGTTTGAATATATAATATATTTATGTAGCAGTGCCATACACTGTTCCATATTATCTTCAAAAAATGGTGGAATATCTTGACAGTTAAGATCATAAAAAATTTTCATTAGAAGAAGGAATGTTTGCATATACACTAGCAATCGTTGTTTGTTTTGTGCATGTTCTGTAATTTTGGCGTCAGTATTCTATAGTAATTTTTATTATATTTTTAGTATACGTTCATCCAGAGAATATTAAATATAATGGCATCGAAGATATCACCTGCAAGAGTTGAAAAAAAGGTGTACAAAATTGTTCCAAGACGAAATTAATTTCGGCAAATAATGGATCTGAGCGAAACTGATGTCGCCACCTTCATAAATCAGAATTTTAATAAATTTGTTGGCAAGGTATTTAATATATATAACTGAATGTTGTAATACCTCTTAAATATGGAATGGGCAGTTTGCAAAACGCCATTATTCCGAGCATAATCTTCTGAATCAAGTTTACTAGATAATTGCTGCATTAAACAAGAATTATGAGACACGAGAATTATATAAGAAAGGACTTGGATCATAATCGTCTATGCACCTGTATTAAATTTTCCCAATTTCCTGGAAAATCGCTTTCAGCAATTAAGGTTACAGCTTCGGAAAGTTGAAGTTGTATGTTTGTTGGAACCGAAACTAAAATATTGATGATACATTCTTTAATTGCATTTCGAATTTCAGAAGGTATTTTTGACTCGTCTTCCTGTTCCGATTAAAAAATGATCAAGAGATAACTATTTAGTGTGAATTATTTCGCGAAGTATGTTCAGACGCATCACTACAACTTGCTTTTTACCCGTACCCAGTTTCTTTTCACATAATTTTTAAAAAGCAACGAGCCAGCAAACCGTACACTCGAGTCTGTATTTTCTTTTGTGATTAATTGCAAGATAGCAATAGGGAAGTTTGACTGTTCGGCTTCCGCAGTAAATAATTCACTTTCAGCTATCGGACCAAATACCGCATAGAAGTAGTTAACACAAACATTATCGACGCTCACGTTTTGATTTTAATTAAGGTTACAGCCTGATCCTTACCAAGCTGCCTTGTAGTAGGTTCGAGCGTCTGCTTTAGAAGGTTAGCTAAGGTAGCTAAGTACTGATCGTTCACACTCGCGACAGACATTTCAATTCAATGCTATTTTCGTAAGTTTTTAGGATTTCTTTATAGATGTAAAAAATTGGTGATATCCCTTTGAATTATCACTTATTATCGTTATATATTAATTTGTAAGATATAATCGGGGCATTTTATTTTCTAAAAATAGGGTGGTGACTTTAAAGTTAATTGGTTGAACCAACTTAGTGCTAAAAATTCTCAACTATTGACTATTGAATTATTGAATCTAATCAACTCCGGACTTATACCGGTTTTTAGTTCTGTTAAAAATGTTGTATTACTGATATAATGGTGATACAACATTTTTAAACATGTATATTGTACGTAGTTCGGGAATGAGATACTATATAAGAAAAGTATCAAATCAAAATAGTTTCTTCTGAATCAGTTGCTGTTACTATAGTTATTCGAAAATCGTCATATACAAAGGGATTAAGATTCAGTAAAAAACAAGCAAATTGTTTTTATTAAATTTTTTTAAAACTTTGCGCAAGAATATTTTAATAACATATAATCAAATTTAATTAAAATTTTTTTATTGGAATTTTATAGACCTATAGTATTCAAATAAAAAAAATTTGGTCAAGTAGTTGTCAAGATATTTTTGCTCAAAGTTTTCATATAAACAATTGCTTGTTTTTTTTACTAATCACCCCAGATAATATTGTAAAGTTGAAGAAGTCTAAGGAGTCTTGGTCTTTTCATAGAGAACGAGTTTTCCGGTGAGTTATTGTGTGTATCTAAAGTCTGCATAAATGCATGAATTTTTATGTGTTGCTTTGTATTTTATCCTGTACTTTTATTAAATATTAATAAAGCTAACCCTGGTGGCTCAATTTTGCATACGTAATCAGTTCCCTTTTGAGTACAAAAAAAGTTCGATCATGTGTTGTAAACAGCCAATCTGAATAATCCTTTTAGGATTTTGAGATTCTAGCGAAGATTTCTAAGCAGTTAGTAACTACTTGATTGAGTTTAATCAAGTAATTTTTCGCTAGAATCAATATTTTGATTGGCTGTTTACAACACGTGTCACCCTATTCTTGTCAAATGTGAAGTTACACGGACTAATCCGCAATGTGATTGGTGGATTAAAATAGGTAACCAATCAAATTTAAAATCTAAATGTGTAACTTCACATATCCAATAAAGTTGCGATTTATTGTTTTTCTAATCTTTAGAATTTTTCCGGGTCTCTGCCTATGGCCTGATCATATGACGGGTACGTCCACGGGATATAAAAGTTTCATATTCATGTATTTTGTTAGTGAACATTCAGAAAAAAACTGAAATGGCAGAAAAAAAGCGAAACCTTTTTGACTCTCATATAAATTATGGCCCACCTTCGAAGAAGCCGTATAATCCCCAAAATCCTCAAGGCATAAATTCAAGCGACAATGGAACGAATGATGAGATGACATCTAGTAGTCTTAATGCTCCTCAGGCTATCGCAAACATAGACATTTCGGATCCAGAGTGGCTCGAGGTTAAAATGCTTAACAATATAATCCTGTTTTTCGAGTAGCTTTTTATTAAACTTATATTTGATTACTTGATTTAGAGATATCAAAAGGAAGCTTTAATTCGTGCACTGAGAGAATACAAGAGACAAGCAGAACGTGCTTTAGAAATGAACGATGAACTTCAGTCAAAAGAAATTGAGTATCAAAATCGACTAATAATCATTGATCAAGTGTATATCAGTTTTTTTTCTTAAATAATTTCAACTATATTTGATTTCAGGGCACTCACATTTAAAGATTACTTTTTTTTCAGTTTTTGGAATACTTACGAATGTTTCTTTGTCGATTTGATGAAGAAGGTGCAATGATGGATATTTGTTCTGATGGTAAATCAAAAAAATTTTTGTTCATTAATATGTTACAATTTCAGGCAAATAACAATCATTTTACCACACATATTATCGACAAAACTTTGGGCTTTTAATACGTATCATATTCTAATTATAAATGTATTATAATTTTTTTAATAACAATATTATTATAATTAGCGAATTTTAAAGGAGCTTATCTGCAACATATGTCGAACATTAACACGGAAGATAAAACACTAGAAAACACCAAAGAGGTGGTTTCTAAGATTGTTGATAAAATAATAACATGGTTGAATGAACGAAATTTACTTATCAAAACATTACAAACTGAACAATCTAAAGAATCAAAATGCTCCGATATTTTAACAAGTGAAGTACAGAAGTTAAGCAGACTATATATCAGCGTTTTGGAAAAAATTAATGATCAGGATAATAGGTTAAGTGAGGTAAATGAGTTTATAATAATTTTATTATTTTAAATTCAGTAAACAATATTTTATTATTTTATTTTAATAATAAAGCTGCATGATCTAACGCGGGAACTAGAGGTGACAAAGGCTAGTCTTGATTCAACCTCTCAACAACTTGAGGCTACTCAAGATAAACTTTCAAAACTTGAAAAGAATGCTGATAGATCAAATAGCTTCACTTTAAATCCATTCCTACATACAGGGAAGAAAGTTGACACAAGCGCACAATCGGTATATTTTATTCAAAAATTTGGGACCATTTTGGATTTATTTTAATATATGCTTTTTATTTCTTTTATTTATTAATTGTTTCAGAGTAACAGTGCAAATCGTGCATTAGATGAACGGATGGAAGTGGTTGAGCTTCGGACAATAGCTGAATCTCGATTGAAAGAGTGTAACGAATCACAGTATGAAAAAGCTGAATTGAAGAAAAAAATTTACGATCTTCAGGAAAAGGTATTCTATTATTATTATGATCATTTATTAGACATGATATTTTATAATTTTTGGACATTAATAAATAAAAAATTATCAAATTAGTTAAAATATGTTCCTGAAGATCGTATCAAAGAGTCAGAATTGTATAAAGCTTTGCAAGTTGAGCTAGAACACCTTCAACAATCCTACTCACATTTATATTCTCTCTTTGAGGAAAAAACTCGAGAAGTGCAAATGCTGACGGCTTCACGAGACAAAGCAGATGATTTACTAAAAGTATGTAAGCCTTTTGTCAATTAATATTGCCTATTTTACATTAATTATTTAATAAAACAGCTATTTTCGTTGAATTAAATCATTTTAGGCTGAAATGAAACGCATGGATCAGGAGTTTCAAGATGTAAAGCAGGAATATCTTAATGACTTGGATCGAATTCGTGCTAAAAGAAATGAATTGGTCAAAGATGTTGAAACATTACGATCAATGATACCGCAAGAATTTCGACAAATTTCAGCAATTAGGTAAATTCTAAATAGGTTCTTTTTTAATTTATTTTCAATAAGATAGAAATACTAGGTTATATAATTAATTAATCTCTTGTTTAGGATGCTTGCAAATGATAGAATGGAATTTATTCATATTTTAAAAGAAGAGATCCGTAAACTAAACATTAAAATTGCAGCCTTTGAAGGCAACAAAAATTCCATTGAACATATACGTAATGTTCAACTTACACCTAATGAGTTGAGTTTTAGAGAATCCCAAGGCACTGATATAGCGAAATACATAACCGAAAGCCTCTCATATGAGAAAGTAGATCGAAAGTATATAAGCGAGTTTTGTCATTATCATGAATCATGAATACTGGAAATTTTAACAAAACTGGATCTACTACACTTTCTAGAGATGATAAATTATCAAGATCAACTCAAAATTCACCAACAATTGACTCACAGCAGCCCTTGGACGTCAAAGAGCTTATTAATAGAATTAAAGACCTCGAGCTTATGAATGATATTTTGAAAAAAGTAATTAATTGATATGTATATAATTATTATATTAACTGTGGTCCTTATCTGTTTACCTTCTATTTTTATAGAATGAACAAGCACAGTCTCGAGAGATTGAGTCATTATTCAACCAGCTGGAACAAAGAGATGATGCGAATCACAAAAAAGCTTTCGAAATTTGTACACAGGACCAAAGAGTTTACACTCTTAAACAATCGGTGATTGTTGTCTTTTATTTGGTTAATAGATATATTAGTACCTTAATAATTGACACGGTTTAATATCTACAGCTCACGAAGTTTCAGCAAAGATTAAATGCAGTAACAATGGAAAATGTTTCACTTCAAAAAGAAAGAAGTTCTATGGCGGTTGTTATTCAAAATCAAATTGATGTAATACGTCAACATAAATACCTCTTAACAAATTTAAAGTCTCAACTAGTAAGCGTAAATTATTTTGTTCCTTTATTCACGCTGTTGCACTAAATGTTATAAGTGTGTCTCAAATTTGATAGGAAAATCATAGTAATGAAGCGAGTACTACGGCCCAAACATTGGCCATATATAAACAAAAATTGCAAGAGTTTGAACTTGAAATTAAACGTTATAAAACTAATACTGAGAATTTAAATAGTGAGGTGACGTATTTGTGTTCTTCCTTTCTTCCAACTAATGTCGCGTCTGTTTCATTGATGTTGGTTTATCTCTTATTTCACAAAGGTCCAGAAGAAATCAAAAGAACATACAAGAGAATTAAGGAGGCGAGATGAGGAACAAAGGGCAATAGAAAAAGAACTAAGACATGTAAAAGAACAATTAGAAGCAAAGAAAGAACAAATGGAAGAATTAAGGAGAAATGCGTCATCAGTTCCATCAGAAACACAAAGACTCCTTGAGGCCTATGAGGTAAGGAATTTGTTCTCCTAATTCTAATTGGTTTGATAGTTGGTCCAACTATTCAACTTTTTTCTTTTTTATTCAGACTAAATGGAAATGTTCATCTTGTAATATAAGATTCAAAGATCATTGTTTATCTTCATGTATGCATGCTTTTTGCAAGGTATGTCTCGATAAACAAGTAGATGGTCGAAATCGTAAATGCGCAAAGTGTGGACAAAAATTTGATAAATCCGATATCAAACAAATATTCTTTTAAAATTTTAATTAGAATTTTTTTTTTGGTGGGTTACTTGACAATAATTGTTTATAGTTTCTTGTTTCCTTTTTTTTTTTTTAAAAAAAAAAAAAAAAAAGGAAAAAAAAAATCTGTTTGGGTGTATTAATGAAGTTCAGTTAGTTTATTGCTAAATAATTATTTCGAATAATTCGAAATATTTATAATGAAGTGTAATTAATTTTATTCTGGACTGATTAAATATTAGTCTGGGTATCACAATAAACATACTGACATTTATATATTATTATTTGTATCATATACAAGTTTTTTCATAGCAAATTCCACAAAAATACAATCTTGTAACTTTAGTCGAATTTTTATTAAGATTTTAGTGATGAGATGTATGAACAAATTTGTTTTTCAGCTTATCGTTGCATATGTAATATTAGTACCTTACTATTTTAATTCAAGGTGATTTAATTATGAAGTTGCTTTTTAAAAGATCAACCAACTAAGCATTTTGTACCTTACAAACGGTATCTATAAGATTTTGTATTATTTTTATTATTTTATTTATTTTTCAGAAATATTTTGTAATTGATAAGTGCTGCTCTTTACACGTCTCAATAGTATTAATAGGATTTACTACAGAACCTTTACTAATACTAGGAGCGGAATATAAAAAGTCTGTATGTCTTGTAACTTTACACAATGAAACTGGAAAATTTATTAAATATACGGTATATGGCGAATATCGATATCTGATATGGTTTGGTTGATTGTAATTATTAAATCAAAAATTTTATGTATAATAAAATTCATCTTTGACACATGTTTAAATCGTCCTCGATATGTTCTAACGAACTATTAGTAAATTTAGATATAACGAATTTTTGACGCCTTCATTATAACTATATATACTATATATATATTAAACAAAAATTTTGTATACGTACGTATGTTGATATTCTTACTGTTTTCAAATATCGCCCAAGGTGTAATTTCGAATTTTGGCCTAAATTAAGCTTAATTCGGGCCGCTATTCAAAATAACAAAAAGGTAAAATAGTAGGCTGAGGTTAAAAGTCTCGTTTGCATGCACAAATCACGGAAGGTATCGAGCAGGAACCTACAAAAATTTATTATCTAATTTATTTAATAAAAACTTGTGTTTTTAAAAAAATATATATTTTTGTTAATTAAAAGCATATTTAACATTTTTAATAAATTTTTGTTTAAATTTTGCTTATTATTCTCAAAATATGGAGTGGAGTCAATAGAAAAGGGACGAATTTTTTCTAAGTAAAAGTTTTCTTGACTTTAAGTTTAAATATTTTAGCAATTATCTTATCAAATTTAATAATTATTTTTTTATTTTAATTCTTTATAATTTCAAAATTAAAATAAAAAAA